AGATATGCCTCCAGGCAGCTTTGCATGTGAAATTCGTTTCCTGCCAGAACAGAAAGTAATCACTACTTTCATGACAGGGTGTTTAACACTGTCTGTTACACTGTAGATCTTCATTGTGTTTGTGAAATATGGACACTAGGAAGGGAAAAATAGTACAATTTTACTCAGCTATCTTCTTGTAGGCGATCTATCAAAAATAATTCAGATGAGATAAGAATTTTTAAGAAAGAATAAATTCAGAAAGCTTCTAAGCATATATATAATATATATATATATTCTTTCACTTCATAAAACTAAAATGCCATTATTTCAAAGTATAATGGATTATAACTATATATTTAATATGTTAGCAGAACAAAACATAGCAAATAAGAACAACATGGTCAAGGGTTTCAAATGCTTGCTAGTTTATATATTCTGTTCTTTATATATTCTGCTACCATGGTGAGCAATGGGACATCAAGTTAAAAAGCAGAATGAAAGTAGGAAATATTCTCTCAAATCTAAGGAGAGTGGAGCTAAGATTTTTACAGGTAAGGGATTTATATTATTTGGAGAATTGAGTTGAAGTGTTTTGCCATTGGATTGTAAAGTGGACCTAGTAGTACTATCTGACACTAGTAGTACAGATTATCTTGACCATTTTGTTTCTTCCACCAAACCAGATTTAGCATCTAGCATATACTAGATGTGCAATAGTAACTGCATCTGGGATGAAATTCAGTAGTTTCCTTCTGTTCAAAGTGTTTTTCTCTATATATTAGGTCCATGCTTCACTGAGGTGTTTTTATTGCAACTTCTCAAGGCTGCTATGCTTTCTTTTTATTCTTCATCTTCAGTGTTCTGCTCTACTATCCTTAAATGGAAGATAATATTTGAAATTTCATTAAAATGTTACTTGCATAATGGAAACACTAAATTTTTCTATGCTTCAAGAAAGGAGCTAAGTATGTTATGTATATAAAATCACTTAACAATAAGTAGATACTATTATTATTCCTATTTATAGAGAAATTGAGACTCAGAAAATTTCATCAAATTGTCCTGTATTAAAAGCTCCTAATTAATATTGAGGACCTCAACATTTCTAACTACAATGTGCCTTATGCTATAAGTAATCAGTGAAAAATTTTAGAGACATGCTCTTCAATATTTACATATGGCACAAGACACTTTGCCACTGCTTTTTAAGTTACACTGACTATCAAGACTATTAGTTCAGCAAACACACACACACACACACACACACACAAACAGAATAAAAATGAAAATTAATGACAAGACTGTTCAGCTGTCCCATTTAAAAAGTATCTGTAGCTCTTTTTGCACCCTATGACATTCAATGTAGTCTCTTACTTTTGACTATGCATCTGAAATGCAATCAAAATCTGCCTGTAGCCTTCAGTACAACCCCCACTGGCACCCTGGTTGTCTTCTCCTGATTACACTGCTTCATGACTGGTATCCTGTCTTTTACTCATCTATTTTCACACATTGCCTTTGGAGGTATTGTTCTAAAACAAAATTTAACTTGGTCATCTTAAAAATATTAACTGTAAGTTCCTCTATTTATTGAAAAAACCCTTAAAATTCTTAATCATTATAAGCCTACCTACCAAAGTATTAATTTTGCTCAATATTCTTTGACTCCAAAAAGTAGTTTCCTGTTGTTAAAAATACAAAAATACAAATGAAACAAAAAATAAAATCCTAATAATGAATTCTCAGTGTGGCGGGCTATCCTGAGTTCTACATGTTATGGTAAGTAGCAAAAAGCCAACATCTCTTTTTTTTCTCTAGCTTGGTTTTAAATTCTTGTTTGGTACATACCATGGAAGAAATTAAAGGGACAAAACATTTATATAGTCCCTAAAATGTACACTTAAAGTTAGCTCTTATTTTTAAACTACACAGAGTTATTAATTCACTTTCCAAATCTATTTGTTTGTTTTTAATCCTATTTGTAATGAACATATTGAGATACAATTGGTGTAATCTATTTTATATCCTCTAAATATTCACCTATATTTTACTTCTGCATAATTATGACTGCAGATTAGAATAGAATTAGATCAGTTTTGATAGCTGTCATTTACCAACTTGATGGAGTGAAATCACTAATCTAAGCTCTCAAAGTGGAAAGATTTAACAGATGGCCCATTCTGAGGTTCTAAGTGTTTTCATGGACATAAGATAGTGTATCTTTGTAAATGTTGAAGTTTGGTCCTCAGTGTAATTGTTAAAAACCTGGAGGGAGCTAGTCAAGTTGATTTGTTTAAAATTATCCTATAATGGACTAATTAATCACATCCCTATCCATACAAATGCCTTTTCCAATTGTGGGACCTGATTTAGTTCTTTGCTAGAGCATTTCTGAGTATCAAGACATAAAAATTCAATTTGTATATAGAAAGGAAAGGTGCTGTATATTCCAAGAGTGATTGATGCATGGTCATTATCAGGTTAATAATGGAGAATTGTAGTAGACACTCTACTTTCTTGTCTGGTGGTATGTTTTCAAAACTCTGTCTTACTTGTAGGTTTGATTAGAAGAGGAAAGCCACTGAGATCATTGGAAGTAACAGGGAAGAGACACAAATGCTGATTCACATGTAACTTCTGTATCTTGCTAACTGTTCTGGTACCACACAGCTGTGGGAAATGGAAGAAATGCAACAGCATGATCACATACAATCAGGACGGCACTCAGGATTGAGGCCAGGCTTGTCTGGGAGAGCAAATACTATGTCATGCCCCTTTCCCCACTATATTCCTTAAGGATATTATATTAGAATTGGAAAAAACAACAGAGTTGTATTTCTCATTACATAATAAGAAAGTGAAGCTCTGAGAATATTGATACAGGATCAATTGGGGGTGTATCTCATATCCTCACTTTCACCTTTGGTTCATGATTCAAGACTATTTTATGCAATTAATTTGTTATTAAGGTGTGACCACAGTCACTATCTAAATATGAATGAAACCACAATGAGCCAGATACAATTAAGTACTTTAGATATACTTTAGAATTTATACCTCTTCCAACTGAGTACAGCTGATACTGTCTACATTTCACAAGTGGGCATGAAACTTATTCAAGCACCACTAAGGTAAAAGATAATGAGATTTGAACTCAATTCATTCCAAATCCAAAGACCATGTTTTCCTTATGCTTTATTTAGTTAGGAAATGTTAAATTTGATTCTGGAAGGCTAATTATAGCTTATGATAGAAAGGTGTTTATATCACTGCTAATATTTACATCAATGTCAATATCCTTATTAAAGACATGTAAAATATAATATTCAGGCTGGTGTGTGGCTCAGTGGCAAAGCAGTTGCCCAGCATTTGCAAGGCCCAGCCCCATAAGATAACAACACCAACTAAACAAAACTGAAAGAAAATATATTAGGCAGTAGCACCACACATACAGGTCCTGAATTTTTAGATAATTTTTTTAAGGAGCCAAAGTAACTCACTTATCTGAATGTAAGGTGTATAGATGTTAACAGAAAGCATAGCACAGGGCACCAAGTGCAAAGCTAAAAGAAAGCCTGGAGTGTGGAAGCACAACACTGTCTTAGCCCAAAGAGCATCTACTGACAAGAAACACACAGAGGAGAATATTGGTAAGGAACATGCATACACAATACTGCGTGTGTCTCCTCCATCTCTTCTCCTATTGGCTGCCCTCCGCTTTGTTCACTCTGCTCCGCATTAATCCCTGGCTTAGTACAGAAGGACATATGGAACAGAGCCCAGGTAAGAAATAAGGGCATAGAAACTCATTCTGCTGATCCCAAGAAAGAAGGGGCCAGCTGTGACACTAGTTTTTCACCAGCCGCGAGCATGGATGCAGATTTGCAAAAGAAAGATGCATTTTCTGACCAACATTGCTCAACAAATGCTATTTGATTGGTAAAGACTGAAATTGCGGACACATAAAAACAACCATTTACTCTGAGAAGTTGCCCTCTCAGTGTCCCAAAGTCCATACTGTCTGTATTTGAAGGAGATAATAGGTTTTCACCAATGTGGGAAAAGAAGCTAGGAATAGGTCATCCCCTGAAATGGAAGCTAATTCATGTCATCAGTAAGCAAGTCCTTGTTTTGCTTGTGTATCATCCTGGAAAACTGTAGTATGTAAGACCTATATTTAAATCCAGCAAGATCATTTGAATGCAACCAATTATACTTTCATGATGGACATGAAAGCATAGGGCTTGCTGTCACTGAATTCGTTGGAGTACTTGAGAACAAGATATAGCTTGTACCTATACAGCATTATCTACAGATGCATCATTATGATTTTACACAACTCCTGAATTTTAGTAAGAACTATTCTTATATTGGTGAAGTCAATTCATATAGCTATTCTGGTGGGATAGAAATGTCTATTTACAGCAATCAGTAATGTGTTGTAATTCTGTGTACTTCACTGAACTGCTAATTTAAAAACTGGTTTACAAAATGGATTTCACTGGGAGAAAGTGGGTGAAATAACAGACTGGTTACCCTTCTTCCCACGAGAGCAAAATCAATAGCTTTTCAGTGATGTTTGCCTCGCAGGATCTAACATAAAATTGTAGACAAAACAAAACAAAAACCCTTACCATTGCATTTCAATGCAATCTTAAATCTCCCAATGTAAATTAATAAATTATGACTTTTATAAAATAAATTAATTTATTGGAGTCTGATATGTCTGGTCTAAATTAGAAAATTAAATTTCAGAGTCTACGAAACCCAAGGCCACACTCTGGACCCTTTTTTGATTCTATTAAGTTACACGTTTCCATTTGATACATTGATTTGAAAAAATTTCAGTCGTACCTTACCTCAATTGTAAGTTTTTGAACATTAAAGTTATGTAATCTAGCATACTATATACCTTATTGGTAAAGAAGCAGAGCTTAGTGATATGAATGAGAAAATCATAGATTATATCAGAATAAAGGAAGAAAAGACAGAGTTTAATAGAAAAGAAAATGTCTTACTTGGTTAAGAATGTCTTGTTTCTGTGCATGCAAGGAGAGAAAGAATACATGTGTTAATGTAAGGTAATTTATACTCTTATCTCTTATCATTGATGATTTCACTAAAAGTTTAAATTTACAAATTGATTTTAAAATATATCCTGGGTCCATAGGTCTCAAAATATTTTTTTGAAACAGGAATAGCAAATTAGAAAATTGATAGAAATATCAATTCTTGAGCTCACGCAGGAAGCACCAAGTCAGAAACTGGGGGATGGGGGGGAGGAGCAATCTGTGCTTTAATAAACCCCCAAGGGATTGTGATATACATGAAATTTTGGGAATCATTAGTAGGAACAGTCTCTGAATATAATAAGCAAATGCTTCCAACTGACATGAGACAAATATAATGAATAATACAAATAAGATAACAAAACCTTCCAGAGAGAAAAAATAAAAATATAGCAGTGTGTATAAAGGTATATTAGATTATGAATATTTATTCTTCACTCCCAGTGTTTCCTCCATCAGTATAAAACAAGATTTTCCCCATGCCTTTACTACTTATATATCTTTCCATACATTTGCCATTTTCTTTCCAGTTTTCAGAAATCAATGGAATAATCTGGAATGGAGTCTAAAATCCAAGATAAAAAATTGCATGCAAAGCCAAACTGATTCTTTCTCATATACCAAATTCCATTATTCGAGTGAGGTTATTTATATGCCCTGTGTTTACTGAAAATCTCTGAGTAAGACTAGTTCTCTGCTACAAACTAGCTGTGATGAGAACCTTACCACTGTTTTATTGGTATAAGATTAGGAGATAAATAATAGGAATCTTTTACCGTGTCAGGCATGAATTAGTAATAATTAAATGTACTGGAATATACCACTCTCATTACATAAGCAATGTCAGCCAATATCTTCCCCTTGTCCTTCTTCCTATATCTCCCAGGATCTTCCCATTCATTCTATGATCTGAAGGAAATGTAAGGAACACTGGGATTCTGGACAATTAGTTTTTGATTGTGGTATTTATCATGAAGCTAGCAGCTTAATGTTGGTACCATCATTTTAAGTTTCTTAAAGTATCTTTATTTAAAAAATTTGCAATTTTTATTTGGGAATCTCATGCCTTTTAAGGTTTTTATTTTTAGAAATCTTTAAAGCCATTGTTTATAACTTTTCTTATTCATATCTTCAAGTTAAAATATGCTAAGTATGTTTAAAAGATAGGAATTAAAAATAAATGACTCATCCATATATATTAGTTATTTTCTATTAAAATAGACTTAAACAGGTCACATCTTTGAGGTAATTTTTTATATTTATTTATTTAGGTACCAGGGATTAAACTCAGGACCTTGTAGTTACCGGGCAGATGCAGCTCCACTGAGCTACATCCCCAAGCCTGAGTTAATGTTTTAAATACAACTTTAAAATTCACTAATTTAGATGAACTCTAAGCAAAATAATGCATCTTCCATTTAAGTAACTTTACTTTGTAGGAGAGAGATATAATTTAATGATATTCAATTCATTCTCATTTTAAATATTTCATATGGATGATAACAATTGCATTTGTATTAGAAAATATGATTTAATTATTCATTCTTTTGTCTAGCAGGATAAATCATTTTTTCAATTTTTTTTGGTATGACTGAGAATCGATAAGTAGCTGTCTGAGTGGAACAACTTCGAGCTGATCTTGATCAGTCAATAATGAGTGAAAATGTCACATGTGACTGGACAGAGATTATTTGATACCAGTGGAGTGATTTTAATGAAGTGGATGAAGTCATGTATTAAAAAGAACTTAAATACTTTCATTTTCAATTTTGAATATTCCTAATTACTTCCGCTTGGCTTGTGTGAAATATGAACTTGGTTTTTGAAAGAACCATATAAAGCTTTAAAATTTTCTTCTAAAGAAAAAATTCCTATCAATATTCAGGTCAGAGTATGGTTTCATCCTTAACTTAGAATTACTAATTATGTGTCATTGCATCGAGGTTTTTGCTCATTTGTATTATTGTAATAATACATTCCAACATATCTGTACATTTATGCAGTGGCGTTACATTATTGAAACATGTGACATTATCTGTGCATCTAATATTGAACCTAGTAATTATGGCAGAAAATCCACTGCACATTGACTCATAATCTTCATAAAACAGTTGTCAGGAAGACTAAGTCTTGGGAGATCTTAAAATAAGAAATTATTGTGGGAGAAATTCTACAATGAAAAGAAAATCATGTTCCAAATGAATTTATAGCAAAGAGTTATCTTCAGATAGAGAAAAAAAACAAGTTTTATTCCTGCATACAAATTAGATGAGAATGCATATTTTCAGAGATTATTAATGACATCTTTCTATGCACTGGTCATCTCTGCTTTTCCCACTCTGCTTGCTGGGGCTTTGAGATTTTTCAGTTCTGCAAGATGATCTATCAGCACTGTTTCCCTCACTGGAAAGCATCTCAGAAAAGAAAATGTGAGGGAAATGCCAGCCAGACTTCCAGTTTTCTTCGCTATATAAGAAAATAGAAGTCCAGAGCAGTAGCTGTGCCTGCCTGGCAAGTGCAAGGTTGTGAGTTTGATCCCCAGTAGCGAAAAAAATAGGAGTGACTTTTAAATTATCTTAGTTTTCCTCATGATTATAATGCTAAGAATATCAACTTTACTTTTTTTAAAAGGGAATATTAGATTAAAGAGTTCTTCAATGTATAGTAATACAATATGGTTAGAATAAAAAATATGATGTGTAAAACAACTACCTATGAGAAATTCTGATAGGAAAATTTAAAACTATATGGATTTATTGAGGTTTGAATTTAGAGATTGGACTGAAATAACTAAAATTAATTTCTGTATATCCTTCCAAAATAATATTGAAAGAACCAAGAACTACTCTCTTCTAAATTTGGGAAAACAAAATGATAACTCAAAAGACATCACAACTTACTCTGTAGAGAAACCTATCTAGCTGATACATTTAGATAAAATTGTCTTTTGCAGAGATCATTTTATTTTTTTCCATACAATTGAAACATCTCTTGATCAAGACATCAATAAACTAATTGTAATGATCAAACATTCAATCTATAATAGCTCTCAGCTAATGTTAAGTGGAAAGTTATTTTAAAAATAACTAGGAAAAGAAAGGCACTCCTTTAGCTAAAACATATTTGAGAGGATATGAAAAGTTGTTATGAAATGTTAGGAACTCAAAAGTTTGCTAGTGAAAAGGTTAAACATGAATTGGGAATTGAAGTTAATCTTTTTTGGCACAAACTCTCTCCTTAAAATGATAGAATAATTATGTCTATCATGAATGCTTGCTTTGTGGAAGGAAAGAACTCCTCTAAAGGATTAAGCCTCATTCCCCACACCAATGTCTCCTTTGGGTTAAATTTATAGAGCAAGAGCCAGGCATATTCTTCATGTTTTCTATAAAATCTTCTCTTCTGACTTGTAGATAAAGAATTCCAACACTGTATTTCAATGGTGTACACTTTCTCAGGCACACAAGTACAGCACCATAGAAGTGTTCATTTCATTAGCAAATTTTAGATGAAGAAATGTATTACATTTAGTATATCTTCCAGAATTGATATTTGTTATGCACTTGATATCCTTTGTGTAGATGGCAAATGGTTTATGGTATGTGAGATATATACATGCATGTGTATATATGTATGTATATGCATATAGAAATACACATATACATATTTTTCATGACTCTTCATGAAGAAATTCTCCCAAGCATATATTTTAAAGTGATACAAAGAAGAAAGAAATTTTACCCCTTCAGGATTATACTTTGCAAGCACGCCATTACCATGGAATTCTTCAAGAACATCCTTTAATTTCTTCGTAGAATCTATAAAAATAGAAAATACACAAATTATTTATATATGCCTACTGTGTATATATGTCACAATTCAGCAATGAAGATGTAAATGTAAATAATCACCAAATGAAACTAAATTTAAAAATCAGTATGTAAGATGCCTTTTAACATTATTGAAAAGGTATTTAATTGGGAAAGATAGGAATAAAGAAACAAAAGAAACATGAAAACTATATTATGCTCACTTTCGTTGCTAAACAGCAGGTAAATTATCTATTATACCAAATAGTGAGCAAACAAATGAATAGGTAGTATGTTTTCTTCATTTATTTTGTTTTCTTTTTTTTTTCCCCCTGGTACTAGGGATCAAACAGGACCTTGCACTTGCAAGGCTGGTGCAGTGCCACTGAGCAAAATCTTCGGCCCTCTTCATTTATTTTGAAAATGTAACATTTAAATGAACAAAAGAAACTTATGTCAAAAATCAAAAGATTATATTCATTGCTTCCCATACCCTATAGTTTATATTTTCCATCTGTAACTGCATTAACAAGTGTTGAGGCCTTTCATCACATTATGTGGTAATAAGCAATCTTGTATTAGTATCTGAATATATCGTGAACTAACATTAAGATTATTAGAATTAAAATTATATATACATATATTAGTATAAACATATGCACTCAGTGTATTAAAATAATACTCTCATACACATAATTTTGATAAAGCAGACTCAAGTCTATGCTGTTCTCATGATAGAAATGATAGTTAACAAAGATAAATACGTCATTTGAATATTTAATCAGGTTTAAATAACAGTGAACAAGCAATACTGAAATTAAAATGTGTGAAATACATAGATTTTTAGTTTTCCTTTCTAGAAGGGGGCGTGGGTATTTGTGTCCCACAACTGAATACAATTTTTCCTGACTTTTCTCAAGGCTCCAGTTATATCTGAACCATGATAAAATATTTCTCATCTCCAAAATCTAATTTTAAATAAGCTTTGAAACATCTTATATTGGGGCTGGGAATTTAGCTCAGTGGTGCTGTCGCCTGCCTCGCAATCACAAGGTCCTGAGTCGATCCCGGGTACCAAAAAAAAAAAGAAGCAATTTATATTTTTTGAATTCTACTTTCATTTGAAATGTATAGTTTCCTTTCATTGCATTGTTAATTCTGTGGGTTGTTATGTCTGTGTGAGAGACGATATTCTTTTATTTGAGACAAAATTCACACAGCATAAAATTCCTATTTATCATCATAAGTACATATACAATTCAGTAGTTTTCAGTAAATTCTCAATGTTATGCAACCATATTAGCCACTCTCCTGCCACTGGAACAGTATGTCCAAAAATCCACATTTTAAAGGAGAGGTTTATTTTGTCTCACAATATCAGAAGGTTCAGTCCAGGCACATAACCAGAGGGGTTCAAGACAAAAACAGCATGATAGAAGGGTGGGGTGGAAGGGTGTAGCAAGGAAAGCTGCTCATCTCATGGCAGCCGGAAGCACAGAGAAAAGAGTCAGGAACAAGAGTATATCCCTCCAGATCACAGCCCCACTGAGTGTCTCTTGCGACCAGACCCCATCTTCTATGTTAACTTCCAGCAGTGGACTCATCCACGAATTAATTCTCCAATAAATATAGCATACCTAATACCCAATCACCTTCAAAAAGCCACATCTTGAACACATGAGACTTATCGGGAGATGTTTTACTTCTAAACAACAACAGCAAATATAACTGATGTCTAATTCCAGAATATTTTCATTACCCTGAAAAGAAAACCCATATTCATTAAAAATTCACTCTCCATTTTCATGTTTCTCCAGTCCTTGGCTACCATTAATATACCTTCAGTTTCTCCAAATTAGAATATTCTGGACATTTCATATAAATAGAATTGCATAATATATTGCTTTTGTGTCCGGCTTCTTTCAGTTCTCATAGTGTTTTCAAGTTATAACCATATAGTAGCATACTTCCATACTTTATTATTTTTATGGGTAAATAGTATTGTATTAGTTTTATATGTTATGTATATTCTCAAATGTACATTTAGGTTTTTTTCTAGATTTGAAAATCCATATATTTTGTTAGAAACTTCCATTACTGCAGAGATCAAATTGTACACTACAAAGATATATGAAACTGATGCTTTCTTCCCAAATTCTTGTTTGTAAGGTACTATTCTGAATTGGTAGAACATTTTTCACGACTCCTTGGTTATTGATGCAGATGCTCACCCTTCTTTGCACACACACATGAAAACCAATGCACGTGTTCTAATATTTCACATCCAAGCAGACCATGTTTGTTTATTTTAGCCTCATGATGAAATGAGAGAAAAAATAGTTTATTATATTTAGGTCTCTCATACAACTTTAGAGACACTGCCTATTTCCATTTTAAGATTTTATTTGGTTAAAACACACATTCCATAATACTTTTAAATGTCCTAAAAAGGGAAATAACTCTGAAATTTATTCTTGTCATATTTTACTTGTTTATCCATCATAGTTTATATTGGATTATTGCTGGTAGGGAGAACATGAACTAAAATAAGAGCCAAAATCTTGATATATGATTGCTCTTTCTGTGAATTGGCACTCAATTATCACCATGATCTGGGCCAATTTAAGAAACTAATTCATATTCAGATGACTCATCAGCACTTCAACTTGTTCCTATTCTAATTGTCAAGTTCCAGTTTGGACATCTTGACATGACATTTATCTATGATCTAATCTCCACTCCACAATCTAGCTCAGAAATTTAAGCATCGTTTTGTTCTTCTATTCTTTCTCTTTTTTTTTTTTCTTTTTTGGGGGGTTACTGCGGATTGAACTCCAGTCCTTGTGCTTGTGCAGCAGGCAGTGAAACCACTGAGCTAAATCCCCAGCCCCCTGTTTTTCTATTCTTATATCAATAATCTCCTTTGGGTCCGGTATCGTCAATATTGAGGCCCAACTTGTGCATCCAATGTGCACAGACGGGATTTTGGTATATGAGGGATAGATATCCATGACCAAGATATGAAAAATGGAATGCAGACATCAATAACCACTCAACAGAATTATCATGTGAGCTGCCTACACAGCTGTTCAGATTTTCAGTTGTACTGTGGTGTGAAGTACCTACCACTCTGTTTTACCTGCCTTCTTGGGGAACACACATGCAACTTATTTGCCTTTCTGAATATCTTCATATCAACCATCATCACAGACACTCTTAACTTTTTGATTATGTCAACTCTGGATCATGTTCTGAGCAAACCAACCTTGGACAATAAAGAGGAGAAATGATCCAGGACTGGGTCTTCCCTATAGCACAAGAAAGACTCTAAGGAAGAGATACCTGGATGAAAAGATTATAGGTAAGACCTGGTGTCAGTCACACTGCAGCTAATATCAGAATTCCAAATAAAGCAAGAGCACAGTGACAGTTTCTGGGCTCCGGAAGGCTGAGAAATCCTGGCAGCCAGCCAGCCAGGCAGGCAGGCAGCTGTGATCTGGGAGCCCAATTCACAGTTAATACAGATCTATAATGGAATAGTGGTCAGATGACCAGGACAATTGGCAAATGAAGTGCTAGGCAGCCAGGTGCTGGGCAGGTAGGTTCAGGCTGTTTTTTAATCCCTGGGATAAGGACCAAGACAAATGCACAGCACAAAACACAAAAGGTTGAGTCTCCTAGAAAGCAAAGAAGGGCTATAACTTGGGGGCAGTTCTGAGATGCAACAATGTAGTCACAGAACAAATAGCTGGGCAAGATGATGCATGCCTCTAATTTCAGCACTCTGGAAGGCTGAAGCAGGAGGGTTGGAGTATTGAAAATTCAAGCCTAGGCTGGGCAATACAGAGATTTATTGAGACTCTGTCTCAAAATTTAGAAAGGAAACAACAAATAAACAAACAAAAACATAGCTGGGGATGTAACTCAGTGTGAAGGCCTGGATTCATTTCCCAGTATGTCAAACAAACAGAAAACCACAAAACCTCAAGAGGAACAAAGTGCTTCAGTTTTCTTTTCCATCATTATCACAGAATAACTTAAGAACTGAGGGAGTGGCAACTACAAAAGTAGGAGTTACTTTATTCAGTAAGTGCCCTTATTATATGCTAGGACCAACACAGAGAAAATGCATGTGAGTGCTGCTGATTTTCTCTATGGCTTGTCTCTGAGCACCTGCTGTGGAGCTTGAGTAGCTGCACTTACTGCAAAGTGCCCACTCCCCATGAATCCTGTCATTTTGCCTGAGTCATAGAATAACAATGGCAGAAACAACTAGCTATGTTTAGGAATAAACATTAAATTACTATTTACTTTTAACATGTTCTAAATTTTACAACATTTTCAAGGACAATTAAATTTCTTTTACATTACTCTGAAATAAAAGTAAACTAGTAAGTGCATTTGGCAGTGTTTATCAAAAAACCTAATGGGCCCAAAAAGGTGCTATATGAAAAATGAAGCGTTTTTAGTTTATCTCACATCTCTTTGGCCATCTGCTACACACTGAATGAGCCTCTTTTGTAATGTCTCTGCCTCTTTTCTTTTTTATTCAAAACAACAACAACAACAACCCAGGGTGCATTTATCAGATTAATCTCAATGGCACTGTAGAGTAATGGAGAGATATAAGGCCAGGTAGATTTGGATTTGCAGTATGGCTCCAGAATTCTTGGCTAAGTGCTCCGCACATTTCTTATCTATCTGTGGCTCAGGATTTTAACACTTAAAATTTGAATAATCATATAGACCTTGCAATACTGAGTGTAGCAGAGTGACTAGTGTCTTAATTAATTCCTGTTCTTTTGTTCCATCCTAAGGATGATTTCCAACATGCCACCATTAACGGTTTCTTATTACTTTCAAATGTTAATACAAACATTCTTCTTGCCATCATAAGTATGTCCAAATATTATCCAAAGTCATACCAAAAATTCTTTTCTTGCCCTCCATATTTATAACTCATTATTCAGCCATCCAATTCCTAAGACATCCTAAAATTCTGCAGTTCT